TTTTTTCAAAGTTTACTGGTTCTGCTCTTCTTTTGAGAATACTATCTAGCATACAACTAGTGTTATCTTTAAAGTCTAAATATCTTCAGTTTGTATAAAATTTAATTCTTTCACTTTGCTCTTGTTTTTTTCGAAGTTTCATGTTTGCCTTAGTTAATTTGAATTCGGCTAATTGAAATTTTACATTAGATCCATTAAGTGATGACAATTTTTTTTTTCATTACTCACTTGACTGGCTAAACTATTTTTCACTAATTTAAAACTGACCTTAGATCTATAGATTTGGATGCTTATGCTTGAGAACACCCTTAGTATGAGAGTATATGAATTTATTTAAATAAAAATTCAAATTTATAGAGTTTACTTCATATGTTATCACTATAATCATTCTTATTATTCTATTTATAAATGCACTTAATTGGAAATCTAGGCTGTTCTCAAACACTTTCTGATGAGTTTACCAAATTATATAATTGGTTAAAGAAATTGACCATGCTAAATTGAAAAAACCTAGAGCTGCGACTACTATGACCACCAATTTTTTTTCATAGGGCTGTTCTGATTGACTGAAATTTTAAAATCCATATTTCGAAGCACAATAAATAATTAGATTGCAATAACCACTTCAATTAATGCTAATGATTGAATAACATCTTGATCACTTGTACATTGAGAATACTGCCCTTAATATTCACATTTCATACTGCAAAATTGCTATAAGTATTATTGTAATGCTTGTGCACAATCCCAATTACTATCTAATCATATTAAAAAAGACACTCTTAGTTAGTAAATATTTGAGTGCTTTTAAATATAGCAATTTGAAACTCATAATAGTTTGTCTTTATATCACTACTCTAATGTTCTATTTATGTCAATTTAGCATTTATGTTAAGCTTAGCATAAAACGAATTTGACTTATGCTAATCTTGGTAGAAATAAAATTAGTTTTATAGAAAATGCTATAAATAACAATTCAAAGTTACTTTATTTGTGTTAATTTAACTGCTCTAATAGTTGTTATTTATGCCAATTATTAATAGGGTCTTTGCCTTACAGGACATAGTAAATCATATGATCAAAACTTAGTTTTCAGGGCAAAGACTCTATGCATTTAAGCTTGGCTATTAAAAACAAGTATTTATCTCTTATAATATTACACTAGCTATTTAATTCATGTCAATTTAGTTATTTTGATTTGCATAAATTTATTTAACGTTAAATCATCTAGATAATTATCAGATCATACAAAAATATAATATGACAGGGTGAAACCTGAGTTGTGAAATAGTGAAATCTGCTATGATTATCACATGAGGGTGAAATCTGCTTTTATATAATAAAATGCAGATTTCATACTAACCCAATCTACAAAGCAGATTTCACTATTTTACAACTCAGGTTTTATCCTGTTCTAATATAATTATAGAAATTTTAATAAATAAATAAATAAATTGAAAAAAGTCATTTTTTTTAATGAATAAACAGGCTAAATACAGTGTAGAACTACTTTCAACAGGTTCTATTATTTCAGAATTACATTATGGCTTATTTGCCAGAGAATGGTAGTTTACAAGTAATATAGATGGTGTTCAAAATTATTATCCATTTAGACTTGGTATGAAAACAAGAACAATAATCAATGAAAAACATTTTATAATTACAATTCATATAGTTAAAGATAATGATGGTTTTGTTCTTAGATTTTCTTGTGAATGTGAAGAAAATTTAGAAGAAATTTATAATAATCCTACTAGTGCAATTTTATCTTTATATCAATGCCTTTTTGGAACTACAACAAAATTTTCTGGTCCATTAATAATGGGTTTTGAAGACAAAGAAATTTTAACTAAACTTCTTTTTGATATTCCTTTTAGACCATTTTCTTTCAAATTAGATAAATTGCATATATTTGTATATAGTATTGGTATATCGGATAATAGCTGTTTATATGGTGCAGGTCCTGGTTTTAATTCATCTTTTATATCTGTTATTAAAAAGGATAGTAAAGCTAAAAGTGCAGTTGTTATTCAAGGAATTAAAAAAACAGGTTGTTTTATAAATATTTATGTTGATAATTAACTGTTTAAGCATATTGAGGGAGTTGATCTAAATCAAACATGAAAGCAAACAGGATTTTTGAAACAATATGAAGGTAATGCACTATTTGGATTAAATCACTATAGAAGTCAAGAAAGGTTAGCTGAGGCAAGCAAATTGTACTGCCCACTCAAAAAATGGTTGAACAAGTTAAAAATAGACAAATTATTCAATTATCATCTTTGTAAAAGGATAAGTGGCAATATCAATTGGTTTGAATTTTTTACTAAATGGACAGCAAGTAATAATGAAGTTGTTGAATTACACCAAAAATTATCATATATATATTCAAAAAACTATATAGTTGCAGATAGAGAATTAAGAGCATAGCATTCTATATTAAAAGCTGCAAGATGTACCAATATCACACTATTTAATACTCATGAATCTAAGGTAACAAATTCATTTATTTGTATTAATATATAAAAGGTTTATTGATTTACTGTATTTATATTCTTAATATGAATTCTGGACAAAATCCAAATATTCAAAATTATTTGAACAATATTCATGATGTTATATGAAACAGGATTTTTATGAAACATACCATTTATAACATTCAATGCTACTAAAACTTTTTGGGACTGTTTTAGTCAAAGTTTAAATAATAATCTGATAGGTTCAAATGGAAAAAGAAGAATTTTATCAATTATTGCTGATAGTTTTTCATATAAAGAACTTCAATCTAGACTACATGTAAGCAAAGACAGTTACTATTAAGATTAAAATTGCTTACATGATATTAATTTAGATTTCTAGTAATAATAACTCAAACTATTTAAAATGTTCGAAATGCTTTGGGTTATATAGTAACTACCATATATAGATCTATTTGCGCAAAAGCTTACTAACCAGAATACCAAAAGTTGATTAAAAATATATACAGTCAGATTTCTCTAAATGCAACCTCTCTAAATGCATGACTTGGCCTGGCAATACCTCTCTAAATGCAAGGTTTTTTATTAGCCCAACGCTATGCATTTAGAGAGGTCTGACTGTATTATTAACAACCTTGTTAGGGACGTGTCAGATATTAGCTGAGATGAATTTACTATAGAGCCCATCTCCTTTCTAATTGGCTATATGTATATATTTAAACCTGAGATTTTGTTTACTACCCTCCCCCCCTACGATATTAGCTAATATCTGATATGTCTCTTAGTATTCTGATTAGTGAACTGTTGTGCAAATAGACTTGTTAAAAAATATCTGTTATGAAAAATTGTTAGTAAATATCTTTAGCAAACTAGTAATCAGGAATAATACAAATACTATAATATTAATAGTAACTAATTATAATTTTACTTGCTTATATAAAAATACAAGGTTTCTTTAAACTTAATCAACACAGCCAAAGGTCATGCATGCATTAATGGATACAGAGGTCCTGCTATTCCAAAACCACAAATAAAACGACAGATTATATCTGAACTTCTCGAAGACCAATATGAATCTTTTATGTTAAACAAGACTAATGTTAATATAAGTTCATATAAGGTACATAGTAAAACAGGATTACCACTAATGTATCTTACTGACAATCGAGAAAAAATTTGGGAAAGATTTCATAACAAATATCCAGAAGGTCTTGGTCATACTGCATTCTTGGATTGATTACGTCAAGGACTATTCACTTTTAAGGAGAATTTGGGCAGGTTATGTATATTATGTAACCCTTATGAATATGAAAGTTTTCATGAATTGTCAAATCTTGTAATAAAAAATGAACTAGAAATCTCAAAACAGGTATTAGTAAATTCTATATAAGTGCTGAGTGCTGAAGAGTGAAAACTTGAAAGTGAATATTTGAGTTTATCACTATAACAGATTTAGTCTTACAAGACTAAATCTGTTACATAATAAACTCAAAGATTTGCTTTCAGGTTTTCATCTTATAGCACTTCATGTAAAATAGTATTATTGTTTTTTTTTTTAAAAAAAAAAAATATATAGTAACTTAAGATTATTTTAGAATGAATTGATCAAATTGATTGAAAAAATTCAAAGATACTTGTGACGTGACTTCTGCAACCATCTTCAAGTATCTAGTAATGGGCATGTTAGTCATAATCAAGCTATTAACCATTGCTTGCCATTTGTATTTGGACAATGTACAAAAGACCACCTATCAAAATGCATAGAGTGTGCACAAATCTTTTTGCTATTCAATGATCTTCGAATAGTTCTGCTGCATTCAAGTCACAATGATCTAAATGAATTACAAAAACAAATTGAATATTATATTGCTTATCAATGTCGAAAGGTTTATTTAAATAGTTAATTTAATGCAAACCTTTTGAAATTAGATGAGAATGATGCCCTTATAATAATTGACTACAAAATGAAAATATTACCCCAAAAAGCTCATGAGACAAAACAAGATTTTTTTGTAAAATGAGGTTTTACATTACATACAGTATTAGTAATCACCAAATCAACAAATTCCTTAGAATTAAATATACATGCTTATGACTATTGGTCAATAGACAGTAGACAAGATACATGGTTTACAGCAAGCTCTTTTGATGTGGTCTTTACATCTCTAGAAAAAAAACCAAAATTGATAACAATAATGTCAAACAATAGTTCCCACTATCATAACTCTGAGCTGATGATAATAATCTCATACTGAAAAGACTGGTATAATATTGAACCTCGGAAATGAGTTTTTTTAGAACCTGGAGAAGCAAAGACTTTTATTGACTCACATCATGCCCAAGTAAGTAGATTTTGTCAGCTTTTTTTTAAAAAATCCTAATTAGAAATATTTATTTCATATTTTTCATGCAATAAAAAGATATGTTAGATGTGGATTTGATATTGAAGATGGTATAGACATAGAAAATGCAACAGAGAATTTAGGTGGAACATCAGTTGCTCCTTTAGAACCAAATCATACGAACAAACAAAAAAAAAATTTTTTACTATATCTGAGATTTTGAATATGTCTGAATGGAGCTGGCCATTTGAAGGACCATATGCAGAATTTATTCATGCACATTCTCTACCAAATTTTGGTGAATGATCAAACTTTTTTCTTACTGATATAGCTAAATATGCAAAAACTGAAGTTGTACAACCTCATTTAGAAAAATCGAAATATACAATGCCTAAATCACCATGGAATATGCCTTATTCTTATGCATCATGTAAGTAACTATTTAAAAAAATTTTTTTTTAACATTTTACAGTATAATCAACTTCCTTGAATATTATTTACCTTGAATTAATTTATAGCAACGAATGCTAACCATTGGGATATGCAGCATTGAAAAACAGAGAAACTAAAACAAGAATTAAAAAATTATAATATTAGTTTTGAGGCAAATGCAACACATTCTGAATTAATCATTTTATTGAATGATTATTTGTGTTCAGGAATGATAGATTTTGAGAAGATTTAAGATAAAGAAAATGAAAATATTGACTTCATTGGGCTGTTCACTATGAATATAGACAGGTAAATTTAGTGTGAATATTTTTAAAAATGACTATTAATTTCAAATTTTCTTATTTCAATTATTTTTAATAGTAACGCTATCTACTTTCCTCTTAATCTTGGATGGGCTCTTAAACAAAATCAACAATTAGGTAGAAGAGGAAGAAAACATATCTCACCAAATATAGTTCTGCACTCAAAACTTTCTTTATGGCTAGTCAATTAGATTAAAGTAATAGATTTATGACAAAAAATATGGTTAACAGATTACAAGAAATGGTAAAAAATGGTAAAATTTCTGAAGACGATAAAATCCCTACAGAACAAGCAGTAAAATCTTGGATCAGTAGATTTTCTAAATCTTTGAAAGAATTATCAGCAGCAGAGGTTTTGACATCAGAGACTTCAGCATAAATTTTTATAGCTTTTGTAATTTTTATAAATATGCTACAAGTTATCTTTCTATAATACAGTAATAAAATAAATAAATAACTAGTGAAAAGTAAATTGAATACTTTACCTAAGTTGAAATTAATTACCTTTCGAATCTTGCATAGTATTTTGCTTTGAAATCTGGCTTTAACCTGAAATAAATAAAAAGGGTCTCTATTTAAAGTATAAAATAGTTACTTATAAGTAAAATAGAACTTTCGAAATTATAACTATAAAAATTTGAGCTCGAGATACTATATTTTTGAAATAGTTTTATTATTAATGACTTTTTTGAATTTTTTTTAACTCGTATGTGATCTACAAAATTTTGCTCTAAATTAGTCTAATTTTTTTATCTCCAAAATTGGTGAAATTCTAATTAAATATTATTAATATGTTTCTGTTAGTATATTTTTAAATTTTTTTTAACTTTAATAATATTATTAGCTTATTTTTTAAATTTTTAATAATTTTTTTATAATATAATTTGTATTTATATATATTATTTATCTTATTAAGCATAATATACCAACTTAATATATTTAAATTAAAATATAATTATATAAAATTTATATATTAACTTGCAATTAAATAAATATATAATATTTAAAGATTTATAAAATATATTTATAAAAAAAATTAAATTAATTTTTGATTACATATTGTTTAAAAAAATTTTAATGTTGGTTAATATTTTTTAAAAAAATTAAAAAATTAAAAAATTAAAAAATTAAAAATTTTAAATATATTTTAAATTAACCAATTATTATTAAGTATTTTTGTACTATTATTTAAGTATCTTAGTATAATCTTATTATATAAATTTGCAAAATTTTAATTATAATTATTATATAGAAAAAAAGTTAAAATAAAAAAAAATTAGCTATTTAAATTAGTCTGTTATATAAAAATTAGTAATTTATTATTATTATTATTATTATTATTTATTTAAAGCTGATGTTATTAGTAGCTACTGCCTTTATTTGTGTTTTTGGTCGATGCATTACATGTGACTTGTACAAGGTAAATGTACAACTAGCCACATGTGTAACTTTTGATTACCTATTTAAGTAGTCCACTCAAGGGTTCTACACTAGCTGCTATGTCTGTAACCTACTAGAAGAGTACTTATTTAAACACTCTGATTCTTATATTACTACCAGATGAGTAATACTTAGTTTCTATACAATTAAGTATCATCTAACTCAATATTTAGCTATCTTCTTTTGTATATCTGTCAAGCTATTAAACATTTTAGAATACGTCATCTGACTGTAAGGTTCTAAGATATCCTCTTGTTAACTACCTACCTACTCTATAGAATATTAACAAGACTAGTCCTTGTAGAGTTCACCCAAATCTTAGTACCTACTTTACAGCATATCTCTAGTACTTATAGTATACTCCTGCTTTGACCTCAAACTTCCAATTCAGATAGCTCAGTAGAACTGTGACCTGTTCTTGGTATATTAAGCTAGCCTGATATTCTTTTTCTTTAGTTTAGTTCTGGTGGCCTAGTTGGTGGTACCTCTCACCTGAGGTTCTTGTCCATCTGGCTCCTCTACATTGGTATCTGTTTTCTAGGTCTAGCTTTTATAGTGGTATTGTTAAAAATCTGTGTTATCTCTCTACTCAGATCTTTCAAGTAGGCTCTGGTTTCCTAGTTTTATGGATTTACATAACTACAAGAACTTATCTTAGGTTTGCACTATCTGGTACTAGTTTGCATTCTTTTGTGTAATCAAGGTTACACAGATGCCCTGTAACCTGCTAGTCATGCTGGTGTGACTATAGTTACAGGTATCTTATCTCAACTAATTAACAGAATGCTATCGCTATAATACTGTCTATGTATTATATAGGTGATTATTTAAATTTTCATCATTGGTGGATTTTGAACTTACAACTTACCACTTGGAAGGTTGACAACTTATCTACTTTACTAAGTTGCTACATCTCAAATTAGTAATTTTATATAATAAAATTAATAATACTTATATATAAAAAAGTTAGTAATTATAATTTTTTTTTAGAATTTAAAAATTTTATTTATATTTATATATAAAATAAATCTTTTAATATATATTTTATATTTATATTATTTAAAAAATATATTAATTATTAATTTTATAAACTTGTTATATAAGTATATTTTATATAAAATTTTATTATATTTTTTATATTTTAAGTACTTATTTATAAATTATTTTGCCAAAAATTTTAAAAAAATTTATTTTATATATAAATAATATAAAGAACTTTTTTTTTCTTTGACAATTTTGCTAAGATCTTTTATATTTATATATATTTTTGAACAATAGTTTTAATATTAAAAGTTGCTAAATCTTAACCTTTTCTGGTCTATACTTTAAACTTTTTAGGAGTAATTTATTATACTAACCTCTACTAGGATTAGAAGGTTTTACTAGGCTTTGTTCAAAACTAGTTATATATTGTAAATTTATATAGTATTTATAAATATTAGACTTTCAGTTTCATATTACATTTTATAACTTCAATTATTCCAAATTAGGCTCTAATTTATGTTTTTTATTATGTAGCTTTTTAATTACAAATTACTTGTTATTTTTAGAAATAAGTCTGTCTATTAACATTCTAGGTCTTTGAATAAAAAACATTTTTATTTAATAGACAAAATATAATTTATATAATAAAAAAAAGTTATAAATTAAAAGTTATATAATTTAAATATTTTTTATAAATTTGATTTTTTTTTTAATATTATAGTAAGGCCATGCCTCTATTTTTATTAAATATTTATTTAAAATTTTTATATAAAATATAAATTTACTTTTAAAAATATTATAAAAAAAGTAGAAGCTCAAACTAGTTTATTTGCAATCTAAACTAACAGAAATGGCCAAAGCTTATTTAGATTTGAATATTAGTGATTTATATAAGAGATTAGTTTGATATTTAATTTATTATATATATTAGAAATTAATTTTTATAAATTTGTAAATTGATAAGAAAAAATATTTAATTAAAATATGATAAATTTATTTTAAAACCTTAATATTATATATAATATAAGGGTGAGTTAATAAAAAAAGGACAAAGGGGTGTGGCGACCTAGTGAAGTGGATAGGATGTCAACCCCCAAGTGGCAGGTCGAGAGTTCAAATCCCAGTGACAGCGAA